TATACATATATACATATATACATATATACATATATACATATACACACAGACAGACAGACAGACAGACAGACAGATAGATATTGTTACAGGATTGATGGGATTTGTTTGGTTTCTGATTTGTTTGCCTCATTCTAATTATATCTGCATGGGGAGAATGAAACATTTCAATGGAAGCAATAATTATTGCTTTAAAAACATTGAAATATATAACATAGGTTCTGAACCATCCTCCCAGGCTATGAAGGTGACTGACTGCAATTTGCTTTGTGAAAGTTATAATGTAAGTTTTAGTTCAATATTTCTTGAGGACAACTAATTTGGGGAAGGCTAAATTCAACTCTCAGAGTGTAATAAGATACTGTACATTCATGGGCTTCTTGCTAAAAGGTTCACCTGTTCAGATCCCTCTTCTGTTGCATTTCCATTTCCAAAGAACATTGTTCTGACCTCATTTTCAATGCCCCCCTTACCTTGCAAGGCAACATGCTCAGTGTTTTCAATAAAAGATATTTTATGCCAGTTAGTGGCCTACAGTAGTATCTAATGCTACATATTATGCCAGCATAACCTTGTGATTTCCTGTATTGATTTCATTCTTGGATTCCAGTTTTCTGGAATTTTTGAACTGATACAGTAATACTGTATATCTTTAAGTGTGATAGGAAACTTTTTTAAAAAAAAACCTGAGAGGGTAGCAACTTTATTTTTCTAGGAGTTGAGATTAATTCAATGTTTTTTTAACTTTGGCAACTCTAAAATCAGTGGATTTCATCTCCCCAAATTCACCAATCAGCTACACTGGATTAAACAGTAGCATGCTAACTTTGGTCCTTTTGCACTTTTTATCTTCCAGGTGGGTTCTCAGCGTTTCAGTGTTAATATGCCTCACAAGTTTAGCATTCACAATTACAAAGTGCCCACCTTCTGTGACCACTGTGGTTCATTGCTTTGGGGTCTTCTGAGACAAGGTTTACAATGCAAAGGTAAGATACGTTTTCTATTTAAATGCAGGATTTTGCTATTAATGTTATAGCTTAGTCCCATTCATGTCTACCTTGATGTACATTAAACTGAAATGTCTATGGAGATTCTCAGTCATCCAGGTCATGGTTGTCCCAAAGTCCAGTTGCCTTTTGAAAAAGCATCTGTGGGACCTTAAACAGAAATAAAATCGGTCTTAGATGACTCTCCTTTGGTTGGTACAATACTATTATATAAATAAAGTAATTAAGCTCTTACAAGTAAAGTATGTAAACTGCAACCTAAAAAGTAGGAGTTAAATGTACTTGCACTGCTCAAGTCAGTAGCCTTGAGCAAGTTTTTAAGATCAAGCTCTATAGATCCAGTTGTTATAGATAAGTTATATTTCCACGTTTAATTGCACAGTAATGCACTAATTTGCATGTGACAGCTAAAACAGAGTTCTCAGAAAATTATGTAATATCCAGTTAATAGAATAATTTGATATATAAAGTTCTGGCCTTCAGTTCAGAGAAAGTTTTGCCCAGACTGAAATGTTTTTCACATTTAACTCATAGTCTGTGTGGTTGATTAAGTCCCAATTGCTTTCCTACCCATTTGTTGTACGTTAGAATAAAACATTTCATTGTCAATGGGAACTTTTGTTGGTATGAGCAGTATAAATTGCAAGCACATGGCAGACAATCTGGCCAGATTCAGAAAGTGACATGCAAAAATATAAACCTCCCTAAGTTAATGGCATTATTTGATAGTGATCAATATGGAGGGGAAAAATTGCAGTGTGGGACAATTAGGATCACATACAATGGTGGGATCCTACTGGTTCGGACAGGTTCGGCTGAACTGGTAGTAGTTTGGTGAACCAGCAGTGACCCAAACCTGCCATGCCCCCAAGCCAGTTCTCTTTTTTTTTGGTTCTGCGCATGCGCAGAACAATTTTAATTGCACTGCGCATGTGTGCGTGATGCACACATGAGTGAACTGAAAGTAGTGTCTGTGGGAACTCACCCCTGATCACTTAATGAAGGCAAAGGGTGTATCCAAGAATTTACTATTTTCTCTAACATAATACTTGAGTCTGAATCAGTGGTGGGA